CGGCTCCCGCTCATTATCTCCTGCACGGCCCCGTCCAATCCTAGAGAACGGCGGTTTCACTTCTACAAGGACGGAGGCAATTTCTCCCTTGAGGACATGGGGCTGGAGGGCAACGCAGCAGAGATGAGGGCCAGATCTCGGAATTTCCGCATCCCACAGGCTGGTCCCGACAGCACCGGGGAATTCGCCTGCGCGTACGAAGAGAACATGAACGGGAGGTGGCTTCTGTCCTTCAAGAGCTTGGCTGTCAATGTGACCATGACAGGTGACCGAACACACACACACACATACACACAGAGCAGGGCTACTCCCCTCCAGCAGGGGGCAGCAGAGATACCAGGCTGCTATTTTGTATCGATTTTGTCTTTTTACAGAGCGCAGCAATTTCTGGGTCGGGCAGCTGGCTTTGTGTGGACTCTTCTTCGCCACGAACGGCCTCCTCTTCCTCCTCTTCCACCTCTACATGATGAGGGAAGGTAATTGCCTCATTCTGGAGTAGAGGCACATTTCCCTCTCCTCCCTTCCTCAGTTTCCCCAGAACGTTGGAGGAGCCCTGATATTTCTCTGCCCAAGTCTCCCCTGGGAAAAAGGCTAGTGCTGGAAGTAACTCTGAGATGCCTACCAGCTCCGTAGCTTCCCCTAAAATCCCTCTGTCCCACCTGCTGAAATGCAGCTGTCTCTGGGGAGGCGCAGCCAGGTAATTGCCACCCAGTCATACTGCCGAGGCATCTGCCAGACTGAAAGGCAACTCTTTTGTGGGTGGGGAGTGGCAACCACAGTCCAGCACCCCCTGCTGGGTGCCCGTCCCACTCCCTGCAGCCCAGCGTCCCCTGCTGGGTCTCCACCCCAATCCATGCAGCCAAGTGCCCCCTGCTGGATCTCCACCCCTCTCTCTGCAGCCCAGAGCCCCCTGCTGGGTCTCCACCCCACTCCCTGCAGCCCAGTACCCCCTGCTGGGTCCCCGTCCCGCTCCCTGCAGCCCAGAGCCCCCTGCTGGGTCTCCACCCCACTCCCTGCAGCCCAGTACCCCCTGCTGGGTCCCCGTCCCGCTCCCTGCAGCCCAGAGCCCCCTGCTGGGTCTCCACCCCACTCCCTGCAGCCCAGTACCCCCTGCTGGGTCCCCGTCCCGCTCCCTGCAGCCCAGAGCCCCCTGCTGGGTCTCCACCCCACTCCCTGCAGCCCAGTACCCCCTGCTGGGTCCCCGTCCCGCTCCCTGCAGCCCAGAGCCCCCTGCTGGGTCTCCACCCCACTCCCTGCAGCCCAGTACCCCCTGCTGGGTCCCCGTCCCGCTCCCTGCAGCCCAGAGCCCCCTGCTGGGTCTCCACCCCACTCCCTGCAGCCCAGTACCCCCTGCTGGGTCCCCGTCCCGCTCCCTGCAGCCCAGAGCCCCCTGCTGGGTCTCCACCCCACTCCCTGCAGCCCAGTACCCCCTGCTGGGTCCCCGTCCCGCTCCCTGCAGCCCAGAGCCCCCTGCTGGGTCTCCACCCCACTCCCTGCAGCCCAGTACCCCCTGCTGGGTCCCCGTCCCGCTCCCTGCAGCCCAGAGCCCCCTGCTGGGTCTCCACCCCACTCCCTGCAGCCCAGTACCCCCTGCTGGGTCCCCGTCCCGCTCCCTGCAGCCCAGAGCCCCCTGCTGGGTCTCCACCCCACTCCCTGCAGCCCAGTACCCCCTGCTGGGTCCCCGTCCCGCTCCCTGCAGCCCAGAGCCCCCTGCTGGGTCTCCACCCCACTCCCTGCAGCCCAGTACCCCCTGCTGGGTCCCCGTCCCACTCCCTGCAGCCCAGCGCCCCCTGCTGGGTCCCCTTCCCCAATGTGGCTGTTTTTGCGACCGTCCTCACGTGCTTCCCTCTACAGGTCACAAGCCCACACAGGGCTCGGCTTGAGGCCAAGGGGAGTATTGCTCGGTCCCATTTCAGTTGGTCGCCGATCAGCCCAGACAGTCTGGCCCCGCCACGGCGAGCGAGGCCTCCAGCCCCACGCTCCTACCCCGCTGAGACGACGAATACGAGAAACAGATGTGAAGGCTCATCTCCTGACGGGGCCTGTTGAAAGAAAGAAAGAAAGAAAGAAAGAAAGAAAGAAAGAAAGAAAGAAAGAAAGAAAGAAAGAAAGAAAGAAAGAAAGAAAGAAATTTCATTCGCATTCACCCTGAGGCCTTTCCTTCTCTATGTATATTCCAGGCTGCGTGTATCCCTGTAAATGGCCCCTCTCCAGCTTTTCATGACAACCCCGCTGGCCTCTGAGTTTGGGTTCCTTCACTGTGGTTACTTTCTCCTCCCCACGCTGTGTGTCACGGGTCCCGCATTGCTGCCGCAAACAGGGCGATTCCCCTTCGAACCACAAGTGGCAACTCCTTCCGCTGTGGCACTAGGCTGAGGTTGGTGGTTCCCACCAATCGCCAAGCTGCTTCCCGGAGCGGAGAACAGCCCCTTGGCCGTGACGCTGGAGGATCAGAGAGACAGCGACAGTGGTCGGGGGCCTGTTACTGCCTCAGAGGTATTATCATCTGTGTCTGATACACAGCGCACAGTTAACCGGTGGAACTCCTTGCCAGAGGATGTTGTGAAGACCAGCACTTTAACAGGGTTTTTAAAAGAGCTAGATAGATTCACGTCTGGTGGGACATACATGGGGCAGCTGGCATTTCTGTGGCCTCTTAGGTCCATACCCTGAGCTGAAAAGGGAGTAGGGTCTAGTGGTTAGAACAGAGGGGGGAGTGTCTTACATTATCTACACAGCTCTGGAAGGGAAGGGATGTCTAATGGTTAGATCATGCTCAGGGACATGTGCCGAGGCTTCCCAAACAGAGCTGGGTTTATCGCCCAGTGGGAGCTCCCCAAGGGAGGGGTCGGGAGAGGGGGAAACCTTTGCTCTGAGAGTCCGCTCAGCTTTCTTCCCACCAAGGAGCGATGCAGTGGGGAAACTGAGGCACGGGTTGACTTCAGAACCAATGCTGGTGAGAGGAGCCATTGCAGAAGGCACCTTGTCACAGCTGTGGTGCGGGGGTGGGAGTGTGTGCAGCAGACGATGTGTGGCTGGATTTCGTGAGCACAAAGCCCTACTGGGCTGCTCAGAGGGGAAGGGCTGGTCAGTCTAATGGGTGGAGAC